CTTCGCTAATGTACAAATTCTGAGGGAGCTAGGGAGGAGAATGAATTCCAACAACGGAGGCGTAGCAATCCAGTTGGATGTCTCTGTCCCTCACGAAGCCTTAGGTCCTGCCCTTGCCAGGAAGGGCATACCGAAATTCTTTGTGGACCTATGAAGGGGTTGAGACCTCCATCTCACACCCCAAGGGTAAAAGTAGAAGCTAGACACAAATTAGAACCCATGTGGACAGGGCCATATGAGATTAAGGAAATGATATCCTCTTCAACCTGGTAATGGAGACATATTGGAGGATCTGGAGGCCAAGCCAGGCTACGCCATTAATGACGAGAATATCTCATGTCTTGCCTTCGCGGACGACAACGCCCCGAAGGCCCAAGATCTACTAGACCACACCGTGGAATATCTCGGTGCACTGGGGATGACTATATCCGCCAGCAAGAGTTTAGCATTTCAAATTCAAAAGCTCAAAGACTCCTGGGGTCTATTAGACTAGACGAGTCTAAACAGAGCTGTGCCACAGGCTGATCTGTCGTGTCGCAAACGTGGAGCCAGAAAGGAGACACTGGTGCCACATGGCAGTGCTTTATGTTACTACTAATCTCATTATGGCGTCGGGATTCTTGCCACTTGGTTGGGTCAGACGTACGCTTCTGAAATTCCGCGTCCATACTGTTTTATGTAATAAAGATCTAGAAGCAAAGGGTTGTGTGAGCATCCCTCAAGAACTGTGCACATTCATTACACTGTTAAAACTGTACTTCAAAGCAGCAGAATTTTTTAAACTTAATTTTTTTTAGTATATATTTATTTATTATTTCAGTCTATACACAAACTTAATTTTTAAAATGTTGTTGTTAAAATTAAAATTTAGCGCTTTTCATCGAAACATGTAAAATAATAATGCTGAAATGTAACATCGTAATAACGATGAATTTTAATTTTAATTTTAACAACATTTTAAAAATTAAGTTTGTGTATAGACTGAAATAATAAATAAATATATACTGAATTTCAACACAAACATGACGCATCTAAACTACAAACTCATTCATTACTGCTTTTTTGCTGGAAATTAGTAAGTTTATTTCTTTTTTTCTGTTAATATTGTTTCCAGTACACACACTGACTTTTGCGCCTGCATTTTTAGGTGAATGGTCGGGTTTTTAAAGGGAATGGACTATCTGAGGACTTAGCCAAGAAAGCTGTAGCTAGGGGATGCTCTCCGTTTTCTTGTGCAGTCAGTCCAAGAATGCTTCAGTTCAGAGTGGTGTGTGGGGGGGGATATGCATCTTGTAGGCAACTGCTTAAGGATATAAATATACTCCCATTAGCATGCATAAATACAATTGAGAGAAGATGCCACATAAAGTTGGACTTCCCTGCCCTGTTTTGTAGAACAAATATTCTCAAGAAACGTGCGGTGAATATCAGAATAAAACTATACAATAAACTACCAATTCAAATTAGGAAAGTGGAGGAAATTAGGACCTACAAGAACGAGCTGACGTCCTACCTATCAGAACGCACATTTTATTCAGTAGATGCATTCTATGAATTGCATTTGTACTGTGTGGTAATACTGATATAACTTGTGAGCTATATATTTCCGCCGCCATATTCGGTTCAGCCGTTACACGTCCTGAGGACCGACAAAATGTGACCCTGAACAACAAAAATCTGCATCATTCACCAAACTAAACATCCCACCACGAGCAACTGACGAACGGTTACAGCAGTGGTCATGTTGGCATTCTGGTTGGTACACCACGTGGACTCGTAGGCAGATACCGTTGGCATTTTTCAATATTCATTTACTGGTACACGAATCAACACCAACAAATGGGAAAATGTTTCATTACAAAATTATGAAAACGCTCGTTACTTTCCCGCTTCAAACCCGATCAACAAAAGCCAGCAGTCGGATGTCGCAGTTTTACGGCGTGTAAAAGGACCTTACGACCATGAACGAGGCGACTACTAATCTATCAAATGAGGTAAATATAGATAATTCCTAAATTAATTAATAGCCTATGAAACACAATTCCGTGGTCTCATATTATAACCTTCATTCCAACAACGGAAACCCCAACTTAGGCCAGCGTACATTGTTGTTTCTTATTGTTTTTGTTGTCTTACTGTTTTGTTGTGTTTCATTGTTCTGTTGTTTCTTATTGTTTTTGTTGTCTTACTGTTTTGTTGTGTTTCATTGTTCTGTTGTTTCTTATTGTTTTTGTTGTCTTATGTTTTTTTGTGTTATTGTTTTGTTCTGTCTCATTGTAGGACCACTGCCACCAGGTAAAAACCCATTTGCAGTAAATAAATAATAATAATAATAATTTCTGCTTTAAGGATGCATTTCTGTGTCACTCACCTCGGGCGGACGAGCGGAGAGTAAAACCGATCCAACTCCTGGATATGCAGCATTTTCAACACATTCACCATCCTCGAGAGATGACGGAGAGACTCGCTGCGAGGGCTACCTGCCACCAGGGGCTACACGTTAGAGGGCACCTACCTTCTACACACACTCCGAATTGTTTGTTACATTCTTTCGGGATCTTAACACAGACTAACTAACTACATGGCTTACGGAACTCGAAGGTTCATCACCGAAAGCAACAAACTTTTAAGAGTTTTTGTAATTCAAGGACGAATTGTCATTTGCGAATACATTATCAATATGTACATATATGTTGATAGTTCTTATACTATTTTATTATTACGTAAAAGGCTAATATTAGTTGTTCATATTTTCAAAATTATATGGTTCTTACTAATGAGAGAACAGTTTTGATAAGGCTGGGTGACTTCACGCGTATCATCAAAACTTTTAGTGTTGAACAGTACACAGATAAGTAACCTAACCTAATCTTACCTAAACGTGCATGAGACCGAATGGCGCATTTGTGTGTACTGAAGGAAAATAAAAACATAACAAGCTAAAGAAATACTAAATGTGCATTGCATTTGAGATTTCTTTCAAAATTTTTTTAATTTTTTTTAGTTTATTTAATGAACCTTAAAGCAGAAATGGTTTACTTATTTCTTCGAAAACTCGTAGAAATAAAAGGCAAAGAGGATAAACTCGCACTGTCAGACAAATGTGGTCTCAATAACTGACTTGTTGGTGCAGGCACATTTCAATAACCGCAAACCTAAGCACTTTAACAACTTTCATGATATAACTTAAAAGGCAGTAGACCTAAAATTGCTCAGCGCAGAAAGAGACTGTTTTCAAAGTCACCAATTCAATAAATCATTTCTAGCATTTTATTTTGTCAAATCAAAATCTTCTAGAAATAACTGCAGTGTACTGAGCACTTTAGCACCGAGGACGAGAACAAAGCCTCAAAAGGAAAAATTCTCAGACATTTTAGAAAAATCCCATAAATACAAAACTAGCAAACACCAAAATATCATAAATGAACATAAGGCCTATGACTCCGATGTGACTTTTAAGCTCATCATTATGCAGTTTTCTTAAGACCCCATCGTCTTCTCTCCTAGGCCCAAATATCCTCCTCAACACTCGATTCTCAAACACCTGCAATCCGTGTTCCTCCCTCTGAGTGAGAGACCATGTTTCGCACGAACTTTGTAACCCTTTCAAAGGACTTATTAGCCACCCTAAGATAATTTTGCCCGCCTGTCTTCTGACGACGAGATACGAACATGTACTTAGTTCTAGCCCCACCTGTCCACTAGCCTCTAGTAAAACTTCTGCATTCCTCTTTATTGTATTCATATAGTCCCCCAACAAATTAACATCATCAGCTTACGCCAATAGCTGATGTGTCCCGTTCAATTTTCAATGAGAATATTGTGTAACACTTTTCTTTTAAACAGAGTGGTAGGCCATTCAGAAACTTTTAATTGATTGATGTACTGTCCCATCTTTTCTCTAGTATCTGACAAATGCAGAAGATCTGATCAATAACTATTGTTGATCTGTTACATCTGAACTCACACTGATCATCCACAAACTCATCAATAATTGACAGGAATTTGTGTATGTAAATTTTTATTTTAATGGCCTTTTATATCAGTTATATATAACTCATATACTTCATTATGATCAATTGTATTCTTTATTCCATTGAATTTGGTGAAATAGTTCCTAAGATATTATATAATTGTAAAAGTTTGCATATAAAAACTCACCATTCTGCATACTCAAAGCAGCTTCCTCCTACACAGGCAAGCACACAGGATAACTGCTGCACCAAACTGAAAAGGAAAACAGATATAGCAAGATAATTCATTATTTTAACATGAAGGAGTTATATTATTTTAATGGTCCCTTATAACAGTTATATATAACACTTTTACTTCATTATGTCGTAAATGACCTCTCTATTCTGTTGAACTTGGTGATATAGTACCTGAAATATTAATTTTATTGCAAAAGCCTACAAATAAAAACTCACCTTTCTGAATACTCAAAGCTGCTTCCTCCCACACACAGGACAGCTGCACCGCACTGGAAACCAGATATATGAAGATAATTAATTATTGTAACAAGACGCTTTTATGCATAAAAGGAATATTAAGTTACAAGTGTGCCAATCAGATTTTCCAGCACTTATGGCGTTCTCTACATATTCACTTTACATAATTCATCAATACTTAACAATAACAAATGTACGTAAATTCTTACATCAGTTAAATGTAACACTGTTGTTCCTTGATTGGGCGTATGTCCCACTACAGCGCACTATTTCTTTATTAAAACACACTTCAAACTCGCACAGAACTTGCATCCACCTTTCCTCGACGAAGGCACAAGGCAGAAGTGGCCAAGACTACAGTACAAACATTATACACCGAACAGCAGCTAAGGTTACAGTCTTACCAACATGAAAACATTGAACATTAGCTAAGGTTACAGTCCTGCCAACATGAACACCGAACA